GCATGGAGGATATTGAAGGATGTCCATGCCCCCAGCAGCGAAGCAATGGTGGTGGTGCTCGAGCGACAACTCCATGCGGTGAAGATCAACGAGGGTGATGCCGTACAAGGAGCGTTCGATCAACTCCGGGACCTCTATGTGAAGCTCTCAGCTGCTGGTGTGGACTACCCTGAGAAAATCAAGTGCTACAAGGCTCTCTCCCTGCTGCCGGAGTCGTGGGGGCCCTTGGTGGTCAACCTTAATGGGATGAAGGACTCGTGGTCCCTTGAGTGGATTCGCGCACAAGTTCTTCAAGAGGAGTTTCGGAGGAAGGAGCTGACCGCCGCTGCCGGTGAAGGTGGAGGCTCTGCCTATGGCATGAAGGGCTTCAAGGGGCGTGGCAGCAAGAAAGGGAAGGCCAAGGAAGGCTCTGGAGGGGAGCAGCATTCGGGAGGGAAGCGTGGCAACAAGGGAGGCAAGCGGTGTGGCGGCAAGTGTTGGTATTGCCATGTGGAAGGGCACCCATGGTTCAAGTGCCGCAAGCTACCTGACGGTTGGAGGCCTGGTCAGCCATCAATTGAGGGCTCCAAGGGTGTTCATGGAGCTATGGGAGAAGGCATGGGCAGTGAGGAGGGCGAAGGAGGTGCTGGCGGATACGGCGGCATGTTCTACCATGTAGGGGAGGCGTGCCCCGAGGACATGGTTGTGCCGGCCAGCAAGATTGCTCTTCACCGCTCCTCCCATTGGGTCATCGATACGGGAGCCTTCATGACCATGACCAACCGAGAGGATCTACTGGATGAAGTTAGGCCATCAAAGGCAGCCACCGTCGTTTCAGCCACCGGCCAAGTTGTACCCGTGCGTGGCGAGGGGAGAGCCATGTTCATGGGTGCGGATGGGAGGCTTGTGGGGCTGAAGCGTGTTCTCCTTGTTCCTGGATTGTGTGCCAACCTCCTCTCTACCAAGGCCCTAAGTGAGGCAGGGATGAAGATGGAGATGTTGGGCACAAAGGTTTTCAAGGCAACTCTGGATGGGCGCGTATTGTGGGACCTCCGAGGCGGCAAGGACATGCACCGGTCCATGTGGGAGATACCGGTGCTGCCATGGAAGGAGGCGGCTGCGCGCTTGGCTGCTGGAGATGTGAGAGGAGGGCGTGTTAACCACGTGGACAATGGAGGGGGTGGTGATGACAGTGATGGTGGGCTCCTTGGGCATGGAGGGGCTGCGCTTCCAAGTGTAACTCCTAGCACGGGTGAGACGGATTGGCTCACCGCACACCGTCGCTTTGGCCACGTGGCGCTACCTCAGTTGCAGCAGCTGTTTAAGGAGGAAAGAGTCAAGGGGCTGAGGATAAAGGGGGAGCCCAAGGAGGTGGGATCTTGTGAGACTTGCTTGACCAGCAAGTTTTCACGGTTTCCCTTCCATTCGGTGGAGGGGAAGTCGAGTGACCCGGTGGAGCTCGTGCATGTGGATCTCGTGGGACCCATGAAGGTGAAGGGAGATGGTGGGGCCCTGTATTCTATGACCATGGTGGATGACAACACAAGGCTCACCTGGTCCTTTCCACTTGCAAAGAAGAGTGATGCTGCAAGGGTCATCATTGAAGAGTGGCTGCCCATGGTGGAGCGAGAGAGCGGCAAGCGGGTGAAGGCGATACGTAGTGACCGTGGTGGGGAGTTCTTGGGAGCGGAGTTCCGGAGCTGGCTGAAGCGGCATGGCATCAAGCAGCAGCTCACCACGGCCTACACCCCTCAATCCAATGGCGTGGCAGAGAGAGCGAACCGGACCATCTTGGAGGGCGGGAGAACGATTTTGGTAGACTCGGGTCTACCCTTACGGTTCTGGCCCCTCGCTATTCGCCATGCCACCGTCATCAAGAACCGAGTATTGACTCATGTGGGAGGGCAGCATTGGGTCCCTATGGAGAAATGGAGGGGCAAGAAGCCTCTGGTGGATATGCTTCGAGTCTTTGGGTGCATGGGACTCGTGCACGTCCCTAAGGAAAAGCGTGACAAGCTTCAAGCGGCGGCGGTGTGGGCTGTTCATTTGGGACTTGCACAAGGGAGCAAGGGGTGGCTCATGTGGGACCCAATAGCCAACACCATCTTCACCACCAGAGATGCCAAGTTCATGGAGGGGCTCATGTTCAAGGAGTGGTTGGAGCGAGGGAGGAGCAAGGTCACCATTCCGCTCGGAATAGAGGTGGGAACGAATGACCCACTCTTCATTCCCATCGAGTTGTCTTCGTCTTCAGAGGTAACGGAGGTGTCACATGACTTGGGAGGTGCTGAAGGGGAGGCAGCAGAGGTGGAGGGAGTGTTGCAGCAAGAGAAGGCCCCTGTAGCTGAGAGAGGTGATGCCGAGGAGGAGGTGCAGCAGCCTACACCATCCCCTACTCTTCCACCAAGGCGGACAACCCAAGGGAAGCGTGGTGCTGTCCGTGGTGGAGCTAAGGAGAGTGCAGCCAAGGAGAGGCCCAAGAGAGCTGCTCACCCAAGGGATTTCCTCAAGTATGAAAGGCTTGGGGGTCCCAAGGCATTGCTGGTCCAGGAGGAGGAAGATGATGAGGAGAAGGGAGCCGAGGGAGAGATGGAGCAGATTTGTTGCTTCGGTGTCAACTTACCTCATGAACCGGCTTCGATGGAGGAAGCACTTGCTGGAGATGATCGAGAGGCTTGGTTGGCTTCAAGGGAGGATGAGTTTAAGAGCCTCATGGAGAATGGAACGTGGACCCTCACCAATCTGCCCCCGGGAAGAAAGGCATTGGATTGCACGTGGATATTACGTGTGAAGACCGATGCGGAGGGGAAGTTGGAGAGGCGCAAAACAAGACTTGTGATCAAGGGTTTCCAGCAGAGGGAGGGGGTTGACTTTAAGGAGGTGTTTGCTCCTGTTGCCAAGGCTCCTACGCTCCGGGTGTTGCTGGCAGCAGCTGCCGTTTGTGGTTGGAAGGTGGAGCAAATGGATGTGAAGACGGCTTTCCTCTATGGCGTGGTAGATGAGGAGATTTACATGAAGCAGCCAGAGGGGTACGACGATGGGAGCGGACGTGTTTGCAGGCTCAACAAGGCCATCTATGGCCTCAAACAAGCTCCAAGGTGCTGGTATGCAAGGCTGGTGGAGGCGTTGGAGGCTCTTGGCTTCAAAGTTAGCGGGTGCGACGAGAGTCTCTTCATAACCGAGGGGGATGAGGAGAAAGTGTTTCTCCTTGTCTACGTCGATGACATTCTCCTCTTCTCTCCATCCCTGGAGAGGATCAAGGAGGTGCAAGGGAAGCTGAAGGAGACCTTTCAATGCAAGGCCCTTGGACCAGTGGGGTATTACCTTGGTCTTCACGTGGAGCGGGACGAGGTGAAGGGATGGTTGAGGCTTCACCAACACAAGTACCTTGCAGCCATGGGGGAGAGGTATGGGCTGGAGGAAGGGAGGAGTGTAAAGACTCCACTACCCTCAGGATTTCAGCTACACCTTGATGAAGAGGAGGGTGAGGTGTTGGAGCCCGAGTTGCAGCGTCGGTTCCAGTCAATGGTGGGGAGCTTGATGTATGCTTCGGTCAACACTCGCCCCGATATTTCATTCGCGGTTTCGCAGCTGGCTCGTGTGGTGTCTAGGCCCCTTCAAGAGCACCTTGATGCAGCAGAGAGGCTGGTGAGGTACTGCATGGCAACCTCAAGGGTGGGGCTGCAATATTCAGTGCATGGGCAGCTGAAGCAAAAGGGAGTGGAGGAGGTGAGCACGAAGACCGGTGCACCTGCAAGGCGTGGACACTTGTACCTCTCGTGCTTCACCGATGCTACCTGGGCAAGTGACATCAGTGATGCAACATCCCACGGTGGCTATGTATGCTGTGTTGGAGGGAGTCCAGTGAGCTGGAAGTCTAAGAAGCAAGGGGAGATAGCTCACTCATCAACGGAGAGCGAGTACATGGCGTTGTTTCATGGGGTGAAGGAGGTGGTTTGGATGAGGAGGTTGCTTGAGGAGTTGGGGCAGGAGCAAGAGGGTCCTACACCTGTGTTTTGTGACAGCCAAGGAGCAATTGCAATGGCTCGCAATGCTGTGCTCCATGGGCTGAACAAGCACATGCATATCAAATGGCATTGGGTGAGGAAGGAGGTGAAGAAGGGCACGGTCTCCTTGCACTACATCAACACTACCAAGCAACCTGCAGATTTTTTGACAAAGCGGCTTGCAGAGCATCAGCATTGGACCTGCGCCACCTTGTGTGGCATGTCCTTCAACTAAGGGAGGCAGCTTCAGGGAGCAGCTAAGGGATGAATGAGAGCACGATGAGGGGGAGTTTGTTGTGCCAACACATTACAGTGGCACGGTCATCGCACTCCCATTCGGCCTACAAGCCTGCTCAGCTTCTGGAATTTTGTGGGGAGGTTGTTCAACACGTATTCTTCAAACCCTCAAAGTTTCAGAGTTTTTCAAGCAGTTACCAAGGCATGACAACATTTTATGTTTCAAGACTTATGGCATCCCGGAAGTGTGTGTTACTCCTTTTTGGTAACACCCGAGTTCACCATTTCGGCTGCTGACTCGTCTACCGAGATCTGATTGGTCTGAAATTCGGTCTGGCAGTCCTTTGCCCCGCTGTGCAAGTGGTCACCAAGTTTCAGAACGATCCAACATCTGAGCATTGCGTGACAGCTGCCGAAATTCACTGTTCCGTAGTCATGGTGCACTGTTGGCAGCATTTCCCTTGCCACCCTTTCATTGTTGTCATGCCAATGGTGCAGGGACAGAGAATGAGACAAGAAGTACAGGTGGTCAAGTGGGACTCTATAACCCTCCTTTTGAGAAGTGTGGTCTTCCTGGAAGCAACTTGCAAGAGGGTGCAAGTGGGAAGACAAGCTGACTCATGTTGGCTTGACTCACTATTGGTAGCCTTGAGTACAGCTCTGAACATCCAAGTGTGGTTGGCTTTGCTGACCTAGCTAGGACGTTTCCCATTCTTCTCTAGCCTTTCTCCCCTAGGACTCAACCTTCTCTGAGTTCCCAGGATGACCCAACCCCTTATGAGTCCCCTAGGCAATGTTGTACTCACCTCTTCCTTGCATCAATGAGAATACACGTTTTTTCAGCCGAGCTTACGTTTTCGTTCACTGCGTAGTGCACACACCTCTGATAATAGCAAGTAATATACCGTTGGAAAGCAGACACCTAAGGCTAACCGCTGTCCAAGTTTCAGCCTCGTATGTTCTCGGAGCTGATCGTGACGGCGTTTTGAACAGAGGCGGTTTGAAGACGTCAGATTCTGCTTAGGCGGTTTCATGGGCATCCGCGACCCCTAAGTGGACTGCAGACTATAACACATTCTGCCTCTTCCCATCGCCCCGCCCCATTCTCCCTCTTTCAATCACCCCGCCCTATTCTCCCAATTTCCATCACCCCGCCTCATTCTCCCTCTATCCATCACCCCACACCATTCTCCCTCTTTCCATCACCCAGCCCCATTCTCCCTCTTTCCATTACCCTGCCCCGTTCTCCCTCATTCAATCAACCCGCCCCATTCTCCCTCTTTCCATCACCCCGCCCCATTCTCCTGCTTTCCATCTCCCCGCCCCATTCTCCTGCTTTCCATCACCCCGCCCCATTCTCCCGCTTTCCGTCACCCCTCCCCATTCTCCCACTTTCAATCACCCCGCCCCATTCTGCCTCTTCCCATCGCCCCACCCCATTCTCCCTCTTTCCATCACCCTGCCCCATTCTCCCGCTTTCCATCATCCCGCCTCATTCTCCCTCTTTCCATCGCCCCGCCCCATTCTCCCGCTTTCCATCGCCCCGCCCCATTCTCCCACTTTCCATCACCCAGCCCCATTCTCCCTCATTCAATCAACCCGCCCCATTCTCCCTCTTTCCATCACCCCGCCCCATTCTCCTGCTTTCCATCACCCCTCCCCATTCTCCCACTTTCAATCACCCCGCCATATTCTCCCGCTTTCAATCGCCCTGCCCCATTCTCCCGCTTTCCATCGCCCCGCCCCAATCTTCCGCTTTCCATCACCCTGCCCCATTCTCCCTCTTTCCATCACCCCGCCCCATTCTGCCTCTTCCCATCGCCTCGCCCCATTCTACATCTTTCCATCACCCCGCCCCATTCTCCCTCTTTCCATCACCCCGCCCCATTCTCCCGCTTTCCATCACCCCGCCTCATTCTCCCTCTTTCCATCGCGCCGCCCCATTCTCCCGCTTTCCATCACCCAGCCCCATTCTCCCTCATTCAATCAACCCGCCCCATTCTCCCTCTTTCCATCACCCCGCCCCATTCTCCTGCTTTCCATCACCCCTCCCCATTCTCCCACTTTCAATCACCCCGCCATATTCTCCCGCTTTCAATCGCCCTGCCCCATTCTCCCGCTTTCCATCGCCCCGCCCCAATCTTCCGCTTTCCATCACCCTGCCCCATTCTCCCTCTTTCCATCACCCCGCCCCATTCTGCCTCTTCCCATCGCCTCGCCCCATTCTACATCTTTCCATCACCCCGCCCCATTCTCCCTCTTTCCATCACCCCGCCCCATTCTCCCGCTTTCCATCACCCCGCCTCATTCTCCCTCTTTCCATCGCGCCGCCCCATTCTCCCGCTTTCCATCGCCCCGCCCCATTCTTCCTCTTTCCATCACCCAGCCCCATTCTCCCTCTTTCCATTACCCTGCCCCGTTCTCCCTCATTCAATCAACCCGCCCCATTCTCCCTCTTTCCATCACCCCGCCCCATTCTCCTGCTTTCCATCTCCCCGCCCCATTCTCCCGCTTTCCATCACTCCGCCCCATTCTCCCTCTTTCCATCACCCAGCCCCATTCTCCCTCTTTCCATTACCCTGCCCCGTTCTCCCTCATTCAATCAACCCGCCCCATTCTCCCTCTTTCCATCACCCCGCCCCATTCTCCTGCTTTCCATCACCCCTCCCCATTCTCCCGCTTTCAATCACCCCGCCCCATTCTCCCGCTTTCAATCACCCCGCCCCATTCTACCTCTTCCCATCGCCCCACCCCATTCTCCCTCTTTCCATCACCCCGCCCCATTCTCCCGCTTTCCATCATCCCGCCTCATTCTCCCTCTTTCCATCGCCCCGCCCCATTCTCCCGCTTTACATCGCCCCGCCCCATTCTCCCACTTTCCATCACCCAGCCCCATTCTCCCTCTTTCCATCACCCCGCCCCATTGTCCTGCTTTCCATCTCCCCGCCCCATTCTCCCGCTTTCCATCACCCCGCCCCATTCTCCCGCTTTCCATCACCCCTCCCCATTCTCCCACTTTCAATCACCCCGCCCCATTCTCCCTCTTTCCATTACCCTGCCCCGTTCTCCCTCATTCAATCACCCTGCCCCATTCTCCCTCTTTCCATCACCCTGCCCCATTCTCCTGCTTTCCGTCTCCCCGCCCCATTCTCCCGCTTTCCATCACCCCGCCCCATTCTCCCGCTTTCCATCACCCCTCCCCATTCTCCCACTTTCAATCACCCCGCCCCATTCACCCGCTTTCCATCACCCCGCCCCATTCTCCCGCTTTCCATCGCCCCGCCCCATTCTCCCGCTTTCCATCGCCCCGCCCCAATCTTCCGCTTTCCATCACCCCGCCCCATTCTCCCTCTTTCCATCACCCCGCCCCATTCTGCCTCTTCCCATCGCCCCGCCCCATTCTACCTCTTTCCATCACCCCGCCCCATTCTCCCTCTTTCCATCACCCCGCCCCATTCTCCCGCTTTCCATCATTCCACCTCATTCTCCCTCTTTCCATCGCCCCGCCCCATTCTCCCGCTTTCCATCGCCCCGCCCCATTCTCCCTCTTTCCATCACCCAGCCCCATTCTCCCTCTTTCCATCACCCAGCCCCTCCATCACCCCGCCCCATTCTCCCTCTTTCCATCACCCCGCCCCATTCTCCCACTTTCCATCACCCCGCCCCATTCTCCCTCTTTCCATCACCCCGCCCCATTCTCCCGCTTTCCATCACCCTGCCTCATTCTCCCTCTTTCCATCGCCCCGCCCCATTCTCCCTCTTTCCATCGCCCCGCCCCATTCTCCCGCTTCCCATCTCCCCGCCCCATTCTCCCGCTTTCCATCACCCCGCCCCATTCTCCCGCTTTCCATCACCTCGCCCTATTCTCCCGCTTTCAATCACCCCGCCCCATTCTCCCGCTTTCCATCACCCCGCCCCATTCTCCCGATTTCAATCACCCTGCCCCATTCTCCTGCTTTTAATCGCCCCGCCCCATTCTCCCGCTTTCCATCGCCCCGCCCCATTCTCCCTCTTTCCATCACCCCGCCCCATTCTCCCGCTTTCCATCACCCTGCCCCATTCTCCCTCTTTCCATCACCCCGCCCCATTCTCCCGCTTTCGATCACCCCGCCCAATTCTCCCGCTTTCCATCACCCCGCCTCATTCTCCCTGTTTCCATCGCCCCGCCCCATTCTCCCTCTTTCCATCGCCCCGCCCCATTCTCCCGCTTTCCATCTCCCCGCCCCATTCTCCCGCTTTCCATCACCCCGCCCCATTCTCCCGCTTTCCATCACCCCGCCCTATTCTCCCGCTTTCAATCACCCCGTCCCATTCTCCCGCTTTCCATCACCCCGCCCCATTCTCCCGCTTTCCATCACCCCGCCCCATTCTCCCGCTTTCCATCGCCCTGCCCCATTCTCCCGCTTTCCTTCGCCCCGCCCCAATCTCCCGCTTTCCATCACCCCGCCCCATTCTCCCTCTTTCCATCACCCCGCCCCATTCTGCCTCTTCCCATCGCCCCGCCCCATTCTCCCTCTTTCCATCACCCCGCCCCATTCTCCCGCTTTCCATCATCCCGCCTCATTCTCCCTCTTTCCATCGCCCCGCCCCATTCTCCCGCTTTCCATCGCCCCGCCCCATTCTCTATCTTTCCATCATCCCGCCCCATTCTCCCTCTTTCCATCACTCCGCCCCATTCTCCCTCTTTCCATCACCCCGCCCCATTCTCCCTCTTTCCATCACCTCGCCCCATTCTCCCGCTTTATATCACCCCGCCCCATTCTCCCTCTTTCCATCGCCCCCCCCCCCCCCCCATTCTCCCTCTTTCCATCACCCCGCCCCATTCTCCTGCTTTCTATCACCCCGCCCCATTCTCCCTCTTTCCATCGCCCCGCCCCATTCTCCCTCTTCCCATCACCCAGCCCCATTCTCCCTCTTACCATCACCCCGCCCCATTCTCCCTCTTTCCATCACCCCGCCCCATTCTCCATCTTTCCATCACCCCGCCCCATTCCCCCTCTTTCCATCACCTCGCCCCATTCTCCTGCTTTCCATCACCCCGCCCCATTCTCCCTCTTTCCATCGCCCCCCCCCCCCCATTCTCCCTCTTTCCATCACCCCGCCCCATTCTCCCGCTTTCCATCACCCCGCCCCATTCTCCCTCTTTCCATCACCCCGCCCCATTCTCCCTCTTTCCATCACCCCGCCCCATTCTCCCTCTTTCCATCACCCTGCCCCGTTCTCTCGCTTTCCATCGCCCCGTCCCATCCTCCCTCTTTCCATTGCCCCGCCCCATTCTCCCGGTTTCCATCACCCCACCCCATTCTCTATCTTTCCATCACCCCGCCCTGTTCTCCCTCATTCCATTACCCCGCCCCGTTCTCCAGCTTTCCATCACCCCGCCCCATTCTCCCGCTTTCCATCACCCCGCCCCATTCTCCCTCTTTCCTTCACCCAGCCCCATTCCCTTCTTTCAAACACCCCGCCCCATTATCCCGCTTTCCATCACCCAGCCCCAGTCTCCCTCTTTCCATCACCCAGCCCCATTCTCCCTCTTCCCATCAACCAGCCCCATTCTCCCTCTTTCCATCACCCCGCCCCATTCTCCCTCTTTCCATCACCCAGCCCCATTCTCCCGCTTTCCATCACCCCGCCCCATTCTCCTGCTTTCCATCGCCCCGCCCCATTCTCCCGCTTTCCATCGCCCCGCCCCATTCTCCCTCTTTCCATCACCCCGCTCCATTCTCCCGCTTTCCATCACCCTGCCCCATTCTCCCTCTTCCCATCACCCCGCCCCATTCTCCCTCTATCAATCACCCCGCCCCATTCTCCTACTTTCCATCACCCCGCCCCATTCTCCCTCTATCCATCACCCGCCCCATTCTCTCTCTTTCCATCACCCTGCCCCATTCTCCCTCTTTCCATTACCCTGCCCCGTTCTCCCTCTTTCCATCACACCGCCCCATTCTCCCTCTTTCCATCACCCCGCCCCATTCTCATGCTTTCCATCGCCCCGCCCCATTCTCCCGGTTTCCATCACCCCGCTACATTCTCCCTCTTTCCATGACCCAGCCCCATTCTCCTGCTTTCCATCACCCCGCCCCGTTCTCCCTCTTTCCATTACCCCTCCCCGTTCACCCGCTTTCCATCACCCCGCCCCATTCCCCCTCTTTCCATCACCTCGCCCCATTCTCCTGCTTTCCATCACCCCGCCCCATTCTCCCTCTTTCCATCGCCCCCCCCCCCCCATTCTCCCTCTTTCCATCACCCCGCCCCATTCTCCCGCTTTCCATCACCCCGCCCCATTCTCCCTCTTTCCATCACCCCGCCCCATTCTCCCTCTTTCCATCACCCCGCCCCATTCTCCCTCTTTCCATCACCCTGCCCCGTTCTCTCGCTTTCCATCGCCCCGTCCCATCCTCCCTCTTTCCATTGCCCCGCCCCATTCTCCCGGTTTCCATCACCCCACCCCATTCTCTATCTTTCCATCACCCCGCCCTGTTCTCCCTCATTCCATTACCCCGCCCCGTTCTCCAGCTTTCCATCACCCCGCCCCATTCTCCCGCTTTCCATCACCCCGCCCCATTCTCCCTCTTTCCTTCACCCAGCCCCATTCCCTTCTTTCAAACACCCCGCCCCATTATCCCGCTTTCCATCACCCAGCCCCAGTCTCCCTCTTTCCATCACCCAGCCCCATTCTCCCTCTTCCCATCAACCAGCCCCATTCTCCCTCTTTCCATCACCCCGCCCCATTCTCCCTCTTTCCATCACCCAGCCCCATTCTCCCGCTTTCCATCACCCCGCCCCATTCTCCTGCTTTCCATCGCCCCGCCCCATTCTCCCGCTTTCCATCGCCCCGCCCCATTCTCCCTCTTTCCATCACCCCGCTCCATTCTCCCGCTTTCCATCACCCTGCCCCATTCTCCCTCTTCCCATCACCCTGCCCCATTCTCCCTCTTTCAATCACCCCGCCCCATTCTCCTACTTTCCATCACCCCGCCCCATTCTCCCTCTATCCATCACCCGCCCCATTCTCTCTCTTTCAATCACCCTGCCCCATTCTCCCTCTTTCCATTACCCTGCCCCGTTCTCCCTCTTTCCATCACACCGCCCCATTCTCCCTCTTTCCATCACCCCGCCCCATTCTCATGCTTTCCATCGCCCCGCCCCATTCTCCCGGTTTCCATCACCCCGCTACATTCTCCCTCTTTCCATGACCCAGCCCCATTCTCCTGCTTTCCATCACCCCGCCCCGTTCTCCCTCTTTCCATTACCCCTCCCCGTTCACCCGCTTTCCATCACCCCGCCCCATTCTCCCGCTTTCCATCACCCCGCCCCTTTCTCCCACTTTCCATCACCTCGCCCCATTCTCCCTCTTTCCATCACCCCGCCCCATTCTCCCTCTTTCCATCGCCCAGCTCCATTCTCCCGCTTTCCATCGGCCCGCCCCATTCTCCCGCTTTCCATCACCCCGCCCCATTCTCCCGCTTTCCATCACCCCGCCCCATTCTCCCGCTTTCCATCGCCCAGCCCCATTCTCCCGCTTTCCATCGCCCCGCCTCATTCTCCCGCTTTCCATCACCCCGCCCCATTCTCCCTCTTTCCATCACCCCGCCCCATTCTCCCTCTTTCCATCGCCCAGCTCCATTCTCCCGCTTTCCATCGGCCCGCCCCATTCTCCCGCTTTCCATCACCCCGCCCCATTCTCCCGCTTTCCATCACCCCGCCCCATTCTCCCGCTTTCCATCGCCCAGCCCCATTCTCCCGCTTTCCATCGCCCCGCCTCATTCTCCCGCTTTCCATCACCCCGCCCCATTCTCCCTCTTTCCATCCCCCCGCCCCATTCTCCCGCTTTCCATTGCCCCGCCCCATACTCCCGCTTTCCATCACCCCACCCCATTCTCCCGCATTCCATCACCCCGCCCCACTCTCCCGCTTTCCATCACCCCGTCCCATTCTCCTGCTTTCCATCACCCCACCCCATTCTCCGCTTTCCATCACCCCGCCCCATTCTCCCGCTTTCCATCACCCCGCCCCATTCTCCCGCTTTCCATCACCCCGCCCCATTCTCCCGCTTTCCATCACCCCGCCCCATACTCCCGCTTTCCATCGCCCAGCCGCATTCTCCCGCTTTCCATCGCCCCGCCCCATTCTCCCGCTTTCCATCACCCCGCCCCATTCTCCCTCTTTCCATCACCCCGCCCCATTCTCCCTCTTTCTATCACCCCGCCCCATTCTCCCTCTTTCCATCACCCCGCCCCATTCTCCCACTTTCCATCACCCCGCCCCATTCTCCCTCTTTCCATCACCCCGCCCCATTCTCCCTCTTTCAATCGCCCCGCCCCGTTCTCCCGCTTTTTATCGCCCCGCCCCGTTCTCCCGATTTCCATCACGCGCCCCATTGTCCCGCTTTCCATCACCCCACCCCATTCTCCCGCATTCCATCACCCCGCCCCACTCTCCCGCTTTTCTTCACCCCGTCCCATTCTCCCGCTTTCCATCACCCCACCCCATTCTCCGCTTTCCATCACCCCGCCTCATTCTCCCTCTTTCCATCGCCCCGCCCCATTCTCCATCTTTCCATCGCCCGCCCCATTCTCCCGCTTTCCATCACCCCGCCCCATTCTCCCTGCGAAGAAAGCTATTCTACGGGACAGCTGAATTGCGTAGGACGCACGGTCAGAGTTATGGCAGTAATTCTTGACAGAGTGGTTGGTTGCCTTTGTAGAACTCAAGCATAGTTTCACTAAGAAAAGTTTCACTACGACGCAGAGATGGGGGCGCGCTTTGAGTCGACTCACAGGTCGCGCGAGGCAGGGCGGCAAGGGCAGCGAGATGGAGAGGTGCGTGGGGCTCACTACGACGCAGAGATGGGGGCGCGCTTTGAGTCGACTCACAGGTCGCGCGAGGCAGGGCGGCAAGGGCAGCGAGATGGAGAGGTGCGTGGGGCTCACTACGACGCAGAGATGGGGGCGCGCTTTGAGTCGACTCACAGGTCGCGCGAGGCAGGGCGGCAAGGGCAGCGAGATGGAGAGGTGCGTGGGGCTCACTACGACGCAGAGATGGGGGCGCGCTTTGAGTCGACTCACAGGTCGCGCGAGGCAGGGCGGCAAGGGCAGCGAGATGGAGAGGTGCGTGGGGCTCACTACGAGCGCTCTTCATTCGCGAGCACCAATGACCGATGATGCTCGCAACCCTCCCACGCCTTTGCTGGCTTGGCAATAGGACCAGACAAGCGCAGCCACGTGATCTGTCAGAAGAAAAATGCTCGGAATGAGCGATTCCACCTCGAAAACGTTGAAGGATTTGCACAATTGCAGAAAGTGTTGCGGTCGCTCTTCATTAGCGAGCGCCAGTGACCGATGATGCTCGCAACCCTCCCACGCCCTTGCTGGCTTGGTAATAGGACCAGACAAATGCAGCCACGTGACCCGGCGGAAGAAAAAAGAGGGCCCTCTTTTTACCACCTCTCCATTTCGTTCCACATCCACAACAGGCATGAGAGGGGGAAGGCATGAGAGGGGGAAGGCATGAGAGGGGGAAGGCATGGGAGGGGGAAGGCATGGGAGGGGGAAGGCATGGGAGGGGGAAGGCATGGGAGGGGGAAGGCATGGGAGGGGGAAGGCATGGGAGGGGGATGGCATGGAAGGGGGAAGGCATGGGAGGGGGAAGGCATGGGAGGGGGAAGGCATGGGAGGGGGAAGGCATGGGAGGGGGAAGGCATGGGAGGGGGAAGGCATGGGAGGGGGAAGGCATGGGAGGGGGAAGGCATGGGAAGGGGAAGGCATGGGAGGGGGAAGGCATGGGAGGGGGAAGGCATGGGAGGGGGAAGGCATGGGAGGGGGAAGGCATGGGAGGGAGGGGAAGGCATGGGAGGGGGAAGGCATGGGAGGGGAAGGCATGGGAGGGGGAAGGCATGGGAGGGGGAAGGCATGGGAGGGGGAAGGCATGGGAGGGGGAAGGCATGGGAGGGGGAAGGCATGGGAGGGGGAAGGCATGGGAGGGGGAAGGCATGGGAGGGGGAAGGCATGGGAGGGGGAAGGCATGGGAGGGGGAAGGCATGGGAGGGGGAAGGCATGGGAGGGGGAAGGCATGGGAGGGGGAAGGCATGGGAGGGGGAAGGCATGGGAGGGGGAAGGCATGGGAGGGGAAGGCATGGGAGGGGGAAGGCATGGGAGGGGGAAGGCATGGGAGGGGGAAGGCATGGGAGGGGAAGGCATGGGAGGGGGAAGGCATGGGAGGGGGAAGGCATGGGAGGGGGAAGGCATGGGAGGGGGAAGGCATGGGAGGGGGAAGGCATGGGAGGGGGAAGGCATGGGAGGGGGAAGGCATGGGAGGGGGAAGGCATGGAGGGGAAGGCATGGGAGGGGAAGGCATGGGAGGGGGAAGGCATGGGAGGGGGAAGGCATGGGAGGGGGAAGGCATGGAGGGGGAGGCATGGGGGAAGGCATGGGAGGGGGAAGGCATGGGAGGGGGAAGGCATGGGAGGGGGAAGGCATGGGAGGGGGAAGGCATGGGAGGGGGAAGGCATGGGGAGGGGAAGGCATGGGAGGGGGAAGGCATGGGAGGGGGAAGGCATGAGAGGGGGAAGGCATGAGAGGGGGAAGGCATGAGAGGGGGAAGGCATGAGAGGGGGAAGGCATGAGAGGGGGAAGGCATGAGAGGGGGAAGGCATGAGAGGGGGAAGGCATGGGAGGGGGAAGGCATGGGAGGGGGAAGGCATGGGAGGGGGAAGGCATGGGAGGGGGAAGGCATGGGAGGGGGAAGGCATGGGAGGGGGAAGGCATGGGAGGGGGAAGGCATGGGAGGGGGAAGGCATGGGAGGGAGAAGGCATGAGAGGGGGAAGGCATGAGAGGGGGAAGGCATGAGAGGGGGAAGGCATGGGAGGGGGAAGGCATGGGAGGGGGAAGGCATGGGAGGGGGAAGGCATGGGAGGGGGAAGGCATGGGAGGGGGAAGGCATGGGAGGGGGAAGGCATGGGAGGGGGAAGGCATGAGAGGGGGAAGGCATGAGAGGGGGAAGGCATGAGAGGGGGAAGGCATGAGAGGGGGAAGGCATGAGAGGGGGAAGGCATGAGAGGGGGAAGGCATGAGAGGGGGAAGGCATGAGAGGGGGAAGGCATGAGAGGGGGAAGGCATGAGAGGGGGAAGGCATGAGAGGGGGAAGGCATGAGAGGGGGAAGGCATGAGAGGGGGAAGGCATGAGAGGGGGAAGGCATGAGAGGGGGAAGGCATGAGAGGGGGAAGGCATGAGAGGGGGAAGGCATGAGAGGGGGAAGGCATGAGAGGGGGAAGGCATGAGAGGGGGAAGGCATGGGAGGGGGAAGGCATGGGAGGGGGAAGGGAAGGCATGAGAGGGGGAAGGCATGAGAGGGGGAAGGCATGAGAGGGGGAAGGCATGAGAGGGGGAAGGCATGAGAGGGGGAAGGCATGAGAGGGGGAAGGCATGGGAGGGGGAAGGCATGGGAGGGGGAAGGCATGGGAGGGGGAAGGCATGGGAGGGGGAAGGCATGGGAGGGGGAAGGCATGGGAGGGGGAAGGCATGGGAGGGGGAAGGCATGGGAGGGGGAAGGCATGAGAGGGGGAAGGCATGAGAGGGGGAAGGCATGAGAGGGGGAAGGCATGAGAGGGGGAAGGCATGAGAGGGGGAAGGCATGAGAGGGGGAAGGCATGAGAGGGGGAAGGCATGAGAGGGGGAAGGCATGAGAGGGGGAAGGCATGAGAGGGGGAAGGCATGAGAGGGGGAAGGCATGAGAGGGGGAAGGCATGAGAGGGGGAAGGCATGAGAGGGGGAAGGCATGAGAGGGGGAAGGCATGAGAGGGGGAAGGCATGGGAGGGGGAAGGCATGGGAGGGGGAAGGCATGGGAGGGGGAAGGCATGGGAGGGGGAAGGCATGGGAGGGGGAAGGCATGGGAGGGGGAAGGCATGGGAGGGGGAAGGCATGGGAGGGGAAGGGATGGGAGGGAGAAGGCATGAGAGGGGGAAGGCATGAGAGGGGGAAGGCATGAGAGGGGGAAGGCATGGGAGGGGGAAGGCATGGGAGGGGGAAGGCATGGGAGGGGGAAGGCATGGGAGGGGAAGGCATGGGAGGGGGAAGGCATGGGAGGGGGAAAGCATGGGAGGGGGAAGGCATGGGAGGGGGAAGGCATGGGAGGGGGAAGGCATGGGAGGGGGAAGGCATGGGAGGGGGAAGGCATGAGAGGGGGAAGGCATGGGAGGGGAAGGCATGGGAGGGGGAAGGCATGGGAGGGGGAAGGCATGGGAGGGGGAAGGCATGGGAGGGGGAAGGCATGGGAGGGGGAAGGCATGGGAGGGGGAAGGCATGGGAGGGGGAAGGCATGGGAGGGGGAAGGCATGGGAGGGGAAGGCTGGGGGAAGGCATGAGAGGGGGAAGGCATGAGAGGGGGAAGGCATGAGAGGGGAAAGGCATGAGAGGGGGAAGGCATGAGAGGGGGAAGGCATGAGAGGGGGAAGGCATGGGAGGGGGAAGGCATGGGAGGGGGAAGGCATGGGAGGGGGAAGGCATGAGAGGGGGAAGGCATGGGAGGGGGAAGGCATGGGAGGGGGAAGGCATGGGAGGGGGAAAGCATGGGAGGGGGAAGGCATGGGAGGGGGAAGGCATGGGAGGGGGAAGGCATGGGAGGGGGAAGGCATGGGAGGGGGAAGGCATGAGAGGGGGAAGGCATGGGAGGGGGAAGGCATGGGAGGGGGAAGGCATGGGAGGGGGAAGGCATGGGAGGGGGAAGGCATGGGAGGGGGAAGGCATGGGAGGGGGAAGGCATGGGAGGGGGAAGGCATGAGAGGGGGAAGGCATGAGAGGGGGAAGGCATGAGAGGGGGAAGGCATGAGAGGGGGAAGGCATGAGAGGGGGAAGGCATGAGAGGGGGAAGGCATGCGAGGGGAAAGGCATGAGAGGGGGAAGGCATGAGAGGGGGAAGGCATGAGAGGGGGAAGGCATGAGAGGGGGAAGGCATGAGAGGGGGAAGGCATGAGAGGGGGAAGGCATGAGAGGGGGAAGGCATGAGAGGGGGAAGGCATGAGAGGGGGAAGGCATGAGAGGGGGAAGGCATGAGAGGGGGAAGGCATGGGAGGGGGAAGGCATGGGAGGGGGAAGGCATGGGAGGGGGAAGGCATGGGAGGGGGAAGGCATGGGAGGGGGAAGGCATGGGAGGGGGAAGGCATGGGAGGGGGAAGGCATGGGAGGGGGAAGGCATGGGAGGGGGAAGGCATGGGAGGGGGAAGGCATGGGAGGGGGAAGGCATGGGAGGGGGAAGGCATGGGAGGGGGAAGGCATGGGAGGGGGAAGGCATGGGAGGGGGAAGGCATGGGAGGGGGAAGGCATGGGAGGGGGAAGGCATGGGAGGGGGAAGGCATGGGAGGGGGAAGGCATGGGAGGGGGAAGGCATGGGAGGGGGAAGGCATGGGAGGGGGAAGGCATGGGAGGGGGAAGGCATGGGAGGGGGAAGGCATGGGAGGGGGAAGGCATGGGAGGGGGAAGGCATGGGAGGGGGAAGGCATGGGAGGGGGAAGGCATGGGAGGGGGAAGGCATGGGAGGGGGAAGGCATGGGAGGGGGAAGGCATGGGAGGGGGAAGGCATGGGAGGGGAAGGCATAGGAGGGGGAAGGCATGGGAGGGGGAAGGCATGGGAGGGGGAAGGGATGGGAGGGGGAAGGCATGGGAGGGGGAAGGCATGAGAGGGGGAAGGCATGAGAGGGGGAAGGCATGAGAGGGGGAAGGCATGAGAGGGGGAAGGCATGAGAGGGGGAAGGCATGAGAGGGGGAAGGCATGAGAGGGGGAAGGCATGAGAAGGGGAAGGCATGAGAGGGGGAAGGCATGAGAGGGGGAAGGCATGAGAGGGGGAAGGCATGAGAGGGGGAAGGCATGAGAGGGGGAAGGCATGAGAGGGGGAAGGCATGAGAGGGGGAAGGCATGAGAGGGGGAAGGCATGAGAGGGGGAAGGCATGAGAGGGGGATGGCATGAGAGGGGGAAGGCATGAGAGGGGGAAAACATGAGAGGGGGAAGGCATAAGAGGGGGAAGGCATATGAGGGGAAAGGCATGAGAGGGGGAAGGCATGAGAGGGGAAAGGCATGAGAGGGGGAAGGCATGAGAGGGGGATGGCATGAGAGGGGGAAGGCATGAGAGGGGGAAAGCATGAGAGGGGGAAGGCATGAGAGGGGGAAGGCATGAGAGGGGGAAGGCATGAGAGGGGGAAGGCATGAGAGGGGGATGCGGAGATAACTACTACAACGGGAGCTAGACTACGGGCTAGGCACGGGTGCTCGTGTGATCTCTGCGTTCGTTAGTCCTTAGTCGTTTTCCTAGTGCACAAACTGCTTGCTAGTTCATGGGGCAAGTTGGCAAAAGTTTCATTAGAGAAAGTTGACAACAATGGTACAATGAAGTTGGCATGGCAAGACTACATCAGAGCTAGCATTCAGGTCGGCCAACTGCCAGCGCAGCTTGGTCGACCGCGTTCCAGCACGACTTGGTCGACCGCGCTCCAGCAGTGCAAGGTCGACGGCGTGCCAACGTCGTAGGTTGACGGCGTGCCAGCGTTGCTCACGCGGAACAGCAGCGCACCCGCTTCGCAGGTGCGCGCAGATGATTGGCGGGCTGAGCCTCGTCACCCGCACAACGCACACACCACGTCAACCTCGCGCTGACGACTGCTTCTGATCGGCCACGTCGACCTTGGGATACCACCACCGAGGTCGGACTCGCCAACTTCGCCTGGGCGACCGTCGCACTCCTCCGCAGAACCTCGTCACCCAGGTAACCTCGTCGACCGGGCAACCACGTCGACCAGCAGCTCCCGTACGTGCCCGTCGACCTCCCAAGTCGACGACCACCTCCATGTCGACCTCACCAGGTCGACCACACCCTCGGTCGACCTCCTACAGGTCGACGTCACTCCGGGTCGACCAGCTCCACGTCGACCAGCACTCCTGGTCGACCTGCTCCTCGTCGACCAGTGCAGTTGTCGGCCGACCACCCACGTCGGCCACCCGAAGTCGGCGTCACGAAGTTGACGCCCCGCTACTCGACGCCCAACTGCTCGGCGTCCTGAGTCGAGGTCGACGTCGGCCCCTCCTTCGTCGACCACCAGGTCCAGTCGACCACCAGCAGGCCGACCAGCAGGCCTGGTCGACCAACCACCAGGTCGACCAGCAGTCCGTCAGCCGACCACCGAAGTCGGCTTCCCCAATTGACGTCACCAAGTTGACGTCCTCCGCAGGTCGACTCCCAAGTCGACCTCCCCGAAGTCGGCGCCACCCTGAAGTCGGCGCCCGTGCAGTGGTCCCCGTGCAGGTCGACCTCCTCGTCAACCAGCTCGCCCACTGCTGCAGGTCGGCTGCTCCCCTCACACCCGACCACGAAGTCGGCCCGCCCAAGCGCGGACGGGGCCAACACACAACTCCCGTTGACACTCCCCTGCCGCGTTCACGCTTGGGCCCCCAGCCCACACGGCAGTACTCCTCGGAGACTAGCTCGTCGACGTGCACCCAACACACAGCACGTCGTCCACCGCACCAGCCATGCAAGAGGGCATGGCACCTACTGCTGCACTTCGTCAACTTCGTCGCCCACGTCGGCCAAGCGCACCTGGCCGATGGCGACGGAGCACCGGTTGAAGGCCGGATAGTGCAGCGCCTTCGTCAGGAAGTCGGCCGGCTGCTCAGCGGTCGGGATGTACTGCAACGAGAACTTCCCGCACTTCACCATGTGCTGCAGCCAGGCCTGTCGCCGCTCCATGTGCTTGAGGTTGCCCGTCAACCCCATGCCCTCGGCGACCGTGATAGCCGACTTGTTGTCCACCCGGAGGACGGTCGGCTTCCCAGCATCCAGCTGCTGGAACTCTGCGAGAAGGAAACGAAGTCGACGTCCCTCCTTCCCGGCTTCCGTGGCCGCCACGTACTCTGACTCGGTCGACGACAACGTCGCGCACTTGATGCGCTGGCTCGACCAGGAGACCGCGGCCTCTCCGTAGACGAACACGTAGCCACCCGTGCTCGTCCTACTCTGCTTGTCACCGGCGTCGTCGGCGTCCACGTAGCCGACCAGCTCCAGCGACTCAGGTCCACCGCCGAACTCCAGGGCGGTGTCACGCGTGTTGGCGAGGTAGGCGAGGCAGCGGTCGACCTCGCGCCAGTGCTGGTCGCTCCTCACCGTGAGGCCGCTCCCCAGCTTGCTGCAGGCGAAGGCGACGTCTGGCCTCGTCGTCGTCGCCGCGAACTGCAGCGAGCCGACCTTCTGCCGGTACTCCTCCTCCTGTCGCTCCTGCGCCTCCTCATCGTCGAAGGTGAGCCGGGCGTAGGCGTCGACCGAGACCGGCGTCTTCGGAGTCCGCCCGGTCTGCTCCTCGTCGATGAAGCGCCTACGCAGCTTGTCGGCGTAGCCCTGCTGGTGCAGCCACAGCTTCCCCGCCGACCTGTCGCGGACGATCTCCAGCCCGAGGTACCTCTGCACCGGCGAGATCTCACGCAGCTCGAAGGCGGACTCCTGCAGCTCCTTCAGCTCCTGCAGCATCTCGGTGCTGCTGCTGGCGGCGAGCAGGTCGTTGACGTAGACCAGCACCCAGCAGCCCACTCCGGCCTCTCCGACCTTGAAGTAAAGAGCCTCGTCGACCTGGCTCTTCTTCCACCCGGCGCCGACCAGCACGTCGTTGAGCGCCAAGTACCACAGCAGCGGCGACTGCTTCAGCCCGTACAGGCTCTTCAGCAGCTTGCAGACCCGGCCGTTTCCGTCGTTGAAGTAGTCCGGCTGAGTCATGTAGAGCACCCGGTCGAGCTTGCTTTGCAGGAAGGCGTTCTTCATGTCGAGCTGCATCAGGTTGAGGTTGAGGACAGCAACGATGCTGAGGAAGATCCTCAGGGTGACGTAGCTGCCCACCGGCGCGAACGTCTCGTCGTAGTCGGCGCCGTACACCTGCGTGAAGCCCTTCACGACCAGCCTCGCCTTCTCGCGCTCGACGGTGTCGTCGACGTGGTACTTCGTCGTCAGCACCCACCGGTTCTTCATGATGTTGACCCCCGGCGGGCGTTCGACCAGCTCCCAAGTCCCCATGTTGATGAGGCTGCGGATCTCCTCCTCCATGGCGGCCTTCACCGCCGGGCCCTTCCAGCTCGCCAACGCCTCCTTCACCGTCATCGTCGAGATATCCCAACGGTGTTCGGGGTCGACCAGCATGTCCGGGTCGAGCTCCGGAAACTCCTCATCGTCCTCGGCGTCGTCGTACACCAGGTCGTCATCGTCCACGTCGTACACCGTGGTGAAGGCAGCGGGGACGAAGAAGTCGGGTGGCCTCCGAAGTCGACCTGACTTCCGGGGTTCAGGCCGAACCTCCACCACGTCGCTGTCGGTGGACTTCTCCCCTTCGTCACCAGCTTCGTTGCCCTCGTCGTCCTGCTGCACCTCGGTCGACTTCCTGGTCGACCTCTCCCCTGTGGTCGGCTCCCCTGCCGACTGCCTGGTTGCTGACTGCTCCGTGGTCGGCTTCACTGTTGCCTGCTCCCCTGTCGGCTGCTGCTCCTCGACCTGTTCCTCCCCTATCGACGTCGACTTCAATCCCACGTCGACCTGCCGCTCGTTACGTCGGCCACCGGCGATGCCCTTGGCCGGCGCCGAAGGCGACGTCCCACTACTCCCCTCATCGCCGGAGGCCGACACAGGAGTCAGCCCGTGCAGGTCGGCCACGAGGGGAGGGGCAGGGGTCGTAGAGGGGGGGGTAGAGGGGTGGACGTCCTCGACGTCCGCAGCAGCAAGCTCACCGACCGCGGCAAGCAGTGGCAGCGTCGCTGACGAGGTGTCGGTGGGCGGGGTGGACGACGAGCGGCCGGACACCGGCCCGTGCTCCGACTTCCACTCAGCCAGCGACATCGCCTCGTAGAACACCACGTCCGACGTGGTGACCACCCGGTTGGCGTCGACGTCGAGGAGCTCCCAGCCCTTGCTCGCCGCCGACACGCCGAGGTGAAGGCCCCACCTGGCCTTCGGCTTCAGCTTCCCACCACGCAGCTGCTCGGGGACAAGGAATTGCGCCATGCAGCCCCACACCCGCGCCAGCGACAAGTCGGGCTTCTGCCCGGTCAGCAGCTGGTACGGTGTCGTCCCAGACGGCAGCGTCGACCGCTCAAGGCAGTTGCGAACCCAGACGGCCTGCCGCAGAGTGAGGTGCCACCAGTGGTGCGGCACGCCCATGTGCAGCAGCATCGTCCGCACGGACTCCACCACCGTCCTCATCTGCCGCCCCGCCATGCCGTTCTGCTGCGGGGTGTACGGGCAGGTCAGGTCGTGGACGATCCCCTGTCCGTCCACGAAGTCGGTGAACTTCTTCCTGAGGAACCCCCCCCCTCGGTCCGAGCGCAACATCAGCACCGACTTCTTCGTCTGCCTCTCAACCAACACCAGCCACTTCTGGAACTCCAGCAGCACGTCCGACTTCTTGGCGACCGGCCGCACCCACACGAAGCGGGTCTTGCGGTCCTTCAGCAGCAGGAGGTACAAGCTGCCGTCCTTGGCAGCTACGCGGAACGGCCCGCACAGGTCGATGTGCACGACAGCCAGCACGTCGTCGGCGTCGGAGCCTTGGTCGGGGAAGGTGTGCCGCGCCAGTTTCCCGCCGACGCACGAGACACACGGTGAGTCGGCGTCCGTCGCCAACTTGAGGTCCAGCCCAATGGCGACCTCGTTCTTCGCCGAGCTCCTGATCGTGTCCATGCCGACGTGCGCAAGCCTCGCGTGCATCCGGTCCGGCGTCGACTTCGTCTTCGAGACGATCGCCCGCAGAGCCACAACCTCCGGTGTGGGCGACGTCGACGTTGTCGAGCAGGGACGCAGGTCGGTGCAGAGGACTCGCCCAGAGTATGTCGCCCGACCGAGCACCTCCCCTGCCGCCGAGATGAGCAGCATGCCGTCTCCGTCCTTCTGCATCTTCACGCCGTGCTTCTTCAGCTGGCCGGCCGACAGCAGGTTGGCTCGCACACCCGGGACGTACAGAACGTCGGGGATGAGTACCTGCTTCCCGGCCTCCCCTTGCAGAGCGACTGTGCCGCGGCCCTGGACGTCCTGCAGCGCCCCATTGAAGCCGCGCACATGCTTGATGGAGCCGCTCGGCTGCATGTCGACGAAGACCTCCTTCGTCCCCATCAAGTGGTGGGAGCAGCCGCTGTCGAGCAGGTTCACCGCCGGGTTCGCCTGCACAGCTGCCGCCACCGCCTGGAAGTCCTCTCCGGCCTCCGGCGCCAGCTAGACGGTCGGCTCCACGACGCCGACCAGCGAGCACGACGCCGTCTTGTCATCCCGCACCTTGCCGCCTGCAGAGGAGTCGGCGTCCTTCGCCGAAGTCGACGTCTTGGTCGACTGCCTCTCCTTGCGCGGCTGGTTTCCTCCTCGACGAGGACGACGACTGCTCGACCTCCCGCGGCCGCCCTTGTCGTCGTCGTCGGAGTCACTGCGGTCGGGACACTCGAAGGAGAGGTGGTCGGGGCTGTGGCAGATCCAGCACTCCCGACGTCGACCTCCTCCTCCTCGACCGCCGTCCTTGGTCGACTTCTTGTCGACCTCCTTGGTCGACTTCCAGCCACCGCTTCCGCCGCCACCAGACTGTCCGCGCTGCCTCGGTCGACCTCCTTGCTTCGTCGGGGCGACGAAGTTGGCCTGCGCCAAGAGCTCCTAGGACCGCTCAGCCTCCTGCATCGCCTCGTCCTGCAGGATGTACGAGGTCAAGTTGTCCTCGTTGAGCGTCGTCCTCGTGCCCGGCGCCATCGACAGCCTCTTCAGGAGGTTGTAGTTGCTCAACAACCCCTGCATGACGTGGGTGACGTACGACGCCGTCGAGTACTGCGCGCCGGCCATCCTGATGGTGGCGAGAATTCGCCGGGCCCGGTTGCAGTAGTCGGTCGCCGTCTCCTCGTCGCCCATACGCAGGTGCGTCAGCTGCCCCTCCAGCTGGGAGATGAACAAGTCGTCGGTGACTTGGTACGTCGACTCAATGAAGTTCCACGCCTGGTGGCCGGCGTCGAGGTACTCCCGGCACCACTTCAAGGCGATCTGCATGCCCGGCGAGCAGCACTGCGAGATGACCATGAAGGTCAACAACTGCACGGCACGAAACTCCGCTCGCAGGTCGGGGTCGTCCGGCGTCTCCACGGAGCCTCGGGCGAAGTTGATCAGCCCGGCCATCTCCAGCTGGGGCTCGATGGCTCCCTTCCAGGTGAGGATGTCCTGTCGACCAGTCAGCGGCGGGGTGACCAAGATCCTGTCCGGCGCAAACTTGAAGTAGCCGTAGCTTGGTGCAATCCCGCCCGCCGTCACCTGGGTCGCCGACGTCGGCGACAAACCGCTTCGTCGTCCTCCGACGTCGCCCCGCGAGGAGCCTGCAGCCGCCGACGACCGCACCCCTCGCCCCTGAACGCCGCCGACTTCGTCGGCGTGTATCACACCTCTCTGCCTCGACGTGCCTCCCGCATTGCTGCCGACTTGGCCACCTCCGGCGTTGACACCCACGTCGACGCCGCCCTCTGTGTTCACCGGTCGAGGAGATGCTGGTTGGGAAGGGTGCAACGTCGCCCACATGGAGCAAATGCCAGCCTCCACAACCACCCAGGGGATCGTTCCGTACTCCTGGGCTGCATGGCGCGTCCTCGCGTCCTCCAGCTGTGCTTCCAGAGTCTCCATCACCTTGGCGTCACCTACGCGCAAGCGAGAGACTGCACGGCTGCCGGCCTACGAACAACTTAGGTAAGTGGCCTCTACGTCGAACTGACTGAAAGGTAAGTCGTGTGCCGTCCACGCTCACCGCACCATGCGGAGATAACTACTACAACGGGAGCTAGACTACGGGCTAGGCACGGGTGCTCGTGTGATCTCTGCGTTCGTTAGTCCTTAGTCGTTTTCCTAGTGCACACACTGCTTGCTAGTTCATGGGGCAAGTTGGCAAGAGTTTCACTAGAGAAAGTTGACAACAATGGTACAATGAAGTTGGCATGGCAAGACTACATCAGAGCTAGCATTCAGGTCGGCCAACTGCCAGCGCAGCTTGGTCGACCGCGTTCCAGCACGACTTGGTCGACCGCGCTCCAGCAGTGCAAGGTCGACGGCGTGCCAACGTCGTAGGTTGACGGCGTGCCAGCGTTGCTCACGCAGAACAGCAGCGCACCCGCTTCGCAGGTGCGCGCAGATGATTGGCAGGCTGAGCCTCGTCACCCGCACAACGCACACACCACGTCAACCTCGCGCTGACGACTGCTTCTGATCGGCCACGTCGACCTCGGGATACCACCACCGAGGTCGGACTCGCCAACTTCGCCTGGGCGACCGTCGCACTCCTCCGCAGAACCTCGTCACCCAGGTAACCTCGTCGACCGGGCAACCACGTCGACCAGCAGCTCCCGTACGTGCCCGTCGACCTCCCAAGTCGACGACCACCTCCATGTCGACCTCACCAGGTCGACCACACCCTCGGTCGACCTCCTCCAGGTCGACGTCACTCCGGGTCGACCAGCTCCACGTCGACCAGCACTCCTGGTCGATCTGCTCCTCGTCGACCAGTGCAGTTGTCGGCCGACCACCCACGTCGGCCACCCGAAGTCGGCGTCACGAAGTTGACGCCCCGCTACTCGACGCCCAACTGCTCGGCGTCCTGAGTCGAGGTCGACGTCGGCCCCTCCTTCGTCGACCACCAGGTCCAGTCGACCACCAGCAGGCCGACCAGCAGGCCTGGTCGACCAACCACCAGGTCGACCAGCAGTCCGTCAGCCGACCACCGAAGTCGGCTTCCCCAGTTGACGTCACCAAGTTGACGTCCTCCGCAGGTCGACTCCCAAGTCGACCTCCCCGAAGTCGGCGCCACCCTGAAGTCGGCGCCCGTGCAGTGGTCCCCGTGCAGGTCGACCTCCTCGTCAACCAGCTCGCCCACTGCTGCAGGTCGGCTGCTCCCCCCACACCCGACCACGAAGTCGGCCCGCCCAAGCGCGGACGGGGCCAACACACAACTTCCGTTGACAGGGGAAGGCACGAGAGGGGGAAGGCATGAGAGGGGGAAGGCATGAAAGGGGGAAGGCATGAGAGGGGGAAGGCATGAGAGGGGGAAGGCATGAGAGGGGGAAGGCATGAGAGGGGGAAGGCATGAGAGGGGGAAGGCATGAGAGGGGGAAGGCATGAGAGGGGAAGGCATGAGAGGGGGAAGGCATGAGAGGGGGAAGGCATGAGAGGGGGAAGGCATGAGAGGGGGAAGGCATGAGAGGGGAAGGCATGAGAGCATGAGAGGGGGAAGGCATGAGAGGGGGAAGGCATGAGAGGGGGAAGGCATGAGAGGGGGAAGGCATGAGAGGGGGAAGGCATGAGAGGGGGAAGGCATGAGAGGGGGAAGGCATGAGAGGGGGAAGGCATGAGAGGGGGAAGGCATGAGAGGGGGAAGGCATGAGAGGGGGAAGGCATGAGAGGGGGAAGGCATGAGAGGGGGAAGGCATGAGAGGGGGAAGGCATGAGAGGGGGAAGGCATGAGAGGGGGAAGGCATGAGAGGGGGAAGGCATGAGAGGGGAAGGCATGAGAGGGGGAAGGCATGAGAGGGGGAAGGCATGAGAGGGGGAAGGCATGAGAGGGGGAAGGCATGAGAGGGGGAAGGCATGAGAGGGGGAAGGCATGAGAGGGGGAAGGCATGAGAGGGGGAAGGCATGAGAGGGGGAAGGCATGAGAGGGGAAGGCATGAGAGGGGAAGGCATGAGAGGGGGAAGGCATGAGAGGGGGAAGGCATGAGAGGGGGAAGGCATGAGAGGGGGAAGGCATGGAAGGCATGAGAGGGGGAAGGCATGAGAGGGGGAAGGCATGAGAGGGGGAAGGCATGAGAGGGGGAAGGCATGAGAGGGGGAAGGCATGAGAGGGGGAAGGCATGAGAGGGGGAAGGCATGAGAGGGGGAAGGCATGAGAGGGGGAAGGCATGAGAGGGGGAAGGCATGAGAGGGGGAAGGCATGAGAGGGGGAAGGCATGAGAGGGGGGAGGCATGAGAGGGGGGAAGGCATGAGAGGGGGGAAGGCATGAGAGGGGGAAGGCATGAGAGGGGGAAGGCATGAGAGGGGGAAGGCATGAGAGGGGGAAGGAATGAGAGGGAGAAGGCATGAGAGGGGGAAGGCATGAGAGGGGGAAGGCATGAGAGGGGGAAGGCATGAGAGGGGGAAGGCACGAGAGGGGGAAGGCACGAGAGGGGGAAGGCACGAGAGGGGGAAGGCACGAGAGGGGGAAGGCACGAGAGGGGGAAGGCACGAGAGGGGGAAGGCACGAGAGGGGGAAGGCATGAGAGGGGGAAGGCATGAGAGGGGGAAGGCATGAGAGGGGGAAGGCATGAGAGGGGGAAGGCATGAGAGGGGGAAGGCATGAGAGGGGGAAGGCATGAGAGGGGGAAGGCATGAGAGGGGGAAGGCATGAGAGGGGGAAGGCATGAGAGGGGGAAGGCATGAGAGGGGGAAGGCATGAGAGGGGGAAGGCATGAGAGGGGGAAGGCATGAGAGGGGGAAGGCATGAGAGGGGGAAGGCATGAGAGGGGGAAGGCATGAGAGGGGGAAGGCATGAGAGGGGGAAGGCATGAGAGGGGGAAGGCATGAGAGGGGGAAGGCATGAGAGGGGGAAGGCATGAAAGGGGGAAGGCATGAGAGGGGGAAGGCATGAGAGGGGGAAGTCATGAGAGGGGGAAGGCATGAGAGGGGGAAGGCATGAGAGGGGGAAGGCATGAGAGGGGGAAGGCATGAGAGGGGGAAGGCATGAGAGGGGGAAGGCATGAGAGGGGGAAGGCATGAGAGGGGGAAGGCATGAGAGGGGGAAGGCATGAGAGGGGGAAGGCATGAGAGGGGGAAGGCATTGTTGTGTGATGCAACCATATGCATTCACGTCTGTCTGCCTCCCATCATGTGTTTGTGCGTTGCATGCGTGGTGTGAGCGTGTGCAAGAAATTTGTGTCTTGTGTGGTTTGGATTGTCTGTGTGTGTGTGAATGTTATTTGGCTTGAGCAGATATCTGAAGTGATTCCTCTGCTCAAAAGCTTTCCGACGAACCAAGAATCGTCGCGATCGGAGCACAACCAAGAAAGTTACGAACATTGGAGTTCGTATGCTTATATATTTTGGTTGCAGCTACTTTGGAAGTTGTGGGGTTGACTCATTATGGGGTATAGACTTTTGGGGTTGGGAAATTCGAACCCATCACTGTAGATGCTGCCAAGAGGTTGGGTGAAGCCAAACCAGGTTGGCAAGTGTGGCCAAGTTGGGGTGAGGTGGATGGCATGGGTTGGAAAGTGACAAAGGTCAAAGTTTGTTGCCTATGGGGAAGGGAATTGTGTGGTATGGGGTTTCCTTGGTTGGGGACTCCCTTGGGGCCTTCCCTCTCGTCCTCCTCTTCCCTTCCTACCTGGTTTAGTGCTACTCCAATGTTCTTTTGTGGGACTTGTTGAGTTAATTGTGATTGAGTTAAATTTCTGTGGCAGCATACCCCCTAGTGCGCCGAAAAGCATAACTCGAGATATACTTCATATTTTGATACGATTCAAATTGGGAAATGTAGCCACGGTCTAGGGCTACAACATATGCGAAATTCGTGGGATTCTAACGGTGCACCTGTCGTCGACAACGTTTCTTGTGAAGTCGACGTTTCTGTCCAGAATTCTAAGCCAACGATTTTGTGATAATTTCGGCTCCTAAGCTTCTAGACTCCGTCCTTAGTCTCTAACAAGTGGTATCAGAGCGATTGAGGACCTTTTGAAGAGTCTACTGAGGTGTGAAGACCCTCCTAGACCCACCATGGCCTGTGGGCGTGCCTAAGTGGAGTTCTAGAGGTTGGATGTGACTTCCGCTAAGGGGAAACTCTGCCGAAATTTCGTTGGCGCCGACACTTGTGAAGATTGTGTGGATCTACATTGTGACCAGCAAAGGGGGGAGCTGAAACCTCTGATTGGGAGCAGAGGAGATGAATCAAGGGAGTGGAGATGCAGCTGAGAAGAGGAGTGAACCGCCACCATCCAAGATCGAAGCTTTGGATGGCTCCAACTATGAGGAGTGGAGCGGGCGGATGCGGAGCGCCTTCAAGCGCTACAAGCTGCTGAAAATTGCAATGGGAGAGGAGAAGATGCCGGGGGAAGGAGATGCCCGCGATCGGTGGATTGAGAAGAGCGCGGTGCTGTACGACCTCATCCTCCAATCGGTCAACAACGACATGTTCCAGCACATCAAGGATTTGGTGGAGTTGGATTATTCCGGACCGAAGGCATGGAAGCTGCTGCGCGACGTGATTCAGCCCAACACGCTGCCGATGGTGATTGTGTTGGAGAAGGAGTTGGCTGCTCTCTCCATGAAACCAGGAGATGATGTGAAACCGGTCCTTGACAAGATCAAGGACACCTATGCGAGGATGGCAGCGGCGGGCAGCGAAGTGTCGCAGATGCAACAGTGCACCAAGATCATCTCGGTGCTCGACAACTCGTGGGACAACCTCATCCCCACCCTCAACGTTCAGCAGGACAAATGGACGCCTGAGTGGCTACGGCAGCAGATTCTGCAGGAGGACTTCCGCAGGCGCCACACGGGAGGTGGTGCTGCCAACAAAACTGCTGAGGGGTATGGAGCTGCATGAGGCAGCAGAGGAAGAGGGGGAGGGAGAGGCCGAGGCCGTGGGAGAGGCTTTAGCAGAGGAAGAGGCCGAGGTGACTACAACGAGGGGCATGGGAGCTCTGGTGGCAGGGGGAGCACCCGAATGGAGGGTGCGTGTTGGTACTGCAAGAAGGCTGGACACCCGTGGTTCAAGTGTTTCAGCCGGCCTGAAGGATGGGCGCCTCCAGGCATGAAGCCGCCAAGTGGTGAACGTGCACGAGGTGGTGCTGTGCAAGGTTCAGGTGCACAAGGTGATGGTGCACAAGGTAAAGCCGACCCTGGGATGTTCCTCATGGTTGAGGATGTGAAAGGGAGTGAGGGTGATGTGGGCTCTGTTGTGCCCTTCCATCACCCCGCCCCATTCTCCCTCCTTCCATCACCCCGCCCCATTCTCCCGCCTTCCATCATCCCCATCACCCCGCCCCATTCTCCCTCCTTCCATCACCCCGCCCCATTCTTTCGCTTTCCATCACCCCACCCCATTCTCCCGCTTTCCATCACCCCGCCCCATTCTCCCGCTTTCCATCACCCCGCCCCATTCTCCCGCTTTCCATCACCCCGCCGCAATGGAATGGGGGAGAATGGGGTGGGTTGATGGAAAGCGGGAGAATGGGGCGGGGTGATAGAAGGAGGGAGAATGGGGCGGGGTGATGGAAGGAGGGAGAATGGGGCAGGGTGATGGAAAGCGGGAGAATGGGGCGGGTTGATGGAAGGAGGGAGAATGGGGCGGGGTGATGGAAGGAGGGAGAATGGGGCGGGGTGATGGAAAGCGGGAGATGGGGCGGGGTGATGGAAAGCGGGAGAATGGGGCGGGGTGATGGTAAGCAGGAGAAGGGGGCGCGGTGATGGAAAGCGGGAGAATGGGGCGGGGTGATGTTAAGCGGGAGAATGGGGCGGGGTGATGGAAAGCGGGAGAATGGGGCGGGGCGATGGAAAGCGGGAGAATGGGGCGGGTGTTGTTCAGGATCCGTCACTTTGAGAGCTTACGACGAACTCATTACTCAACTAAACGCAAATCCGCTCGGTAGGATTGTGCGCCTTAGGCTTAGCTACCATCTCCAAGTTGAATCAGTTGTTAAGATGGTCTATAGAGTGAGAACCGATTGAAAACGTCCAGCAGCTGCATCACTAGAATGGTGGAGGAAGTACAAACATTAAGGCATAGGAAGTTGGAGTTGGGGACTCCAAGAGAACCATGAGAGGGAAGGGGTTCTCCAAGAGCTAGGGAAGGATGGTAGGAACCTTCCTAGCAGCAAGGATGCAACCCTCATCATGAGGTCCTTGAGGTGTCACATGCAAAATCCAATCTAGTTGGATTTTGCCTAGGTGTTGCAACATTTGCAACCCATGCTAGAAACTTCTAGCCACCCCAATCCAAAAGTCAAAGTTGCCTTCCCTAACCACCCAACCAAAGATCCCTTTATAGTCATGTCCCAAGTAATCACCCAAATTAGATATAACCCAAAAAGGTAATAAGAAATCCAAGTCTTGGAATTCTTGTAACTTGGGCGATCTTGGTCGGAATAAGGCGATCTTGGTATCGTTGGAAAGCTCTGGATTTCTCCTGCATGATCAAGCATGTAGACTTGGAGAAAAACACAGAGATGGTAATATCCAACAGCCATGCATAATGACATATGCTCATGCAAATCATGCAAGCACAAATAGCACGAGCACTCGGCAGGACGTTAGGATGACATGCACTCAGAATGACGTGCATTCAACAAACTCCCCCTCAGACTAACGGACTGCATGCACATACACTCACACATGCACTCATGACACTGCTGCCCACACTAGTGCAATGCCATGCCACACATCTTAGCACACTTCCAATGTGCGCTCTCGGGAAGTCTCTTGGTGAGAAAATCTGCCGCCTGCTTGCTAGCCTTCACATGGTGAAGCTCAACAGCTCCCTCCTTCACCATATGCCTCACCCAATGCCACTTAATCTTCATGTGCTTGTTCAGCCCATTCAGGATAGGATTATTGGCCATGCCAATAGCAGCCTCGCTGTCGGAGAAAAGTGGCGTAGGTCCCTGCTGTTCAGCTCCCATGTCCTCCAGCAGCTTCCTCAGGAGCACAATCTCCTTGATGGCATGGTACATCGCCATGTACTCTGCCTCTCCGGAAGACTGAGCAATCTCACTCTGCTTCTTGGACCTCCAGCTCACTGGTCCACCTCCGACCATGCACACAAAGCCGCCAACCGATGATTGATCCTCATCCTCTGAGGCCCATGTGGCATCGGTGAAGCACGACAGCTTCAAGGTTCCAGGCGTGACCCCATCTGCTCCAATCTGTTTCAGCTGGCCGCCAGCTGGAAACTGAACACCAGCAGATGCCGTTGATCCGAGGTAGCGCACCAAGCGCTTTGCCACCTCTAACTGCTCCTCAGTGGGCCGCTGCACAACTCTGGCCAGCTGCCCCACTCCGAATGAAGCATCAGGTCGCGTATGCACTGCAGCATACATCACACTCCCAATGAGTGACTGGTATTCATTCTGCTGCTCATCCTCGAGTACATCATCCTCCTCAGCTGCCTTCTTCAGTTTGAAGCCCGCAGGGAACGGTGTCATCACAGTGCGACCCCCAGTCACACCATACCACTCTATGACACCAGAGATGTAGTGTGACTGATGCACCTTCAGCCACCTCCTCTCAACATCCCTCTCAATCTGCAGCCCCAAGTAGTAGTGGACATGCCCCAGCATCTTGCACTTGAAGTTGTCCATCAGCAGCTTCTGTGTCCTCTCAATCTGCTCCATGGAAGGTGAGAACAGTAGTATGTCATCGACATACACCAGCGGCAAGAGCAGCTGCTCCCCCTCACCAAGCAGAAACAAGCTGTGATCCACCTGGGACGTCTTGAAGCCTCCACCCATCAGCACCTCCTCCAGCTTCTCGTACCAACACCTGGGCTCTTGCTTTAGGCCATAGATGGCCTTCTTAAGCTTGCACACCCGGCTGGTCCCATCCTCATAGCCGTCGGGCTGCGCCATGTAGATATCCTCCAGCAGTATTCCATTGAGGAACGCAGTGGTAATATCCATCTGCTTCACGTGCCATCCCTTCACAGCTGCGCCAGCCATCAAAGTCCTCAGTGTTACTGGCTTAGCAACGGGAGCGAAGATCTCCCCAAAGTCGACCTTCTCTTTCTGCTGAAACCCCTTGGCGACCAAGCGGCTCTTGAACCGCTCCAGCGCACCATCAGCACCATTCTTCACCTCGAAGACCCA